AGCACCTTCTTTCCCTTTATATCCTAGGTAGGAACATAGGAGAAGGGTATTATTAAGGGAGAAAGGGGAAAAATGGGGGCACCTTAACTGGGGAAATCATGATTGGAGGGGTTAGACATTGAGAGAGATAAATAATGCCTAGCTGGTTTTAAAAACCAGAGGGAACCATATTACGAAAACAGAGAATCAAGGCAAAAAAGTAACCCAATTAAAAGACGGGCTAAGGAGCTGAACAGAGAGTCCTCAAAAGAAGAAGTAAAGATGGCTATGAAGCATCTTAAAAGATGTTCAACATCATTAGTAATTAGGGAAATGCAAATTAAAATGGAACTAGCCTTCTTGGATGTTTAACAGACATACTTTGAAGCCTATAATAATTTGGTCAGAAGGATATAAAGGACAGTTTTTGCTCCTTGCCCTCCTAGGTCGACTAGCTCCAGGGGACTATGAGCATCGCTCAAAATGTCCTTCAATTGTGGTGGGTCACCTATCCTCTTGATCAAGGAAGCCGAGGAGATCCCACGAGACGGACATTAACCAGTGTCCAGTCTACAAAGAGGAGGGTCAACACAGGGGAAACATTTCCTCTATGCTTCCAAGTAAAGCCAGCCATGATCGAGCAGGACTGTTGACTTATCTTCACATAGGCAGAACTGGTAAAAGAAAGGAGCCAGGGGCTCCTCCCAAGTCCATGTGACCCCTGAGGAACAGATCCTCAAACAACCTAAGAGTAAAAATAAATTGGTTTATCTGGGCCAACTGCATGGCCTTAAACACACAAAAGGAAAGTATAACCAAAGATTAAAGGGGCCAATATAATTTCTTAAAGAGTCCATATGCATGGCTAAAGGCTACATAACAAGCAACAATGCCAGACAGGCGATACCTTCTTTTGGGTTGTTGGCCAGGGTGGCCAAAGGGACTCCCAGATAGTAACTCAGCATAGAACTGGGAAATTGAACAGCAGACGACAACTGATTGCTGCTAGAAGAGGAACAGCTGACCTTTCTAAACAAAGACCTCTAGATAGGCTGACTAGAGTCACCAGATGGACAAGTAGTGGGGAATGGTTGGGCGTGCCAACAACACAGACAGTAGCAGGGATAACAGAGTATAAGGGATCTAGTGGGGGGAGGGAGGCTATAGGAGCGTGTCATCTGGGAAGTGGGTGTATAGTTGAATAAGATGGTTTGGCATGTTCTGTGTGATACACACACAGAGGGAAAAAAATCAACAAATTTAAAAATATGTATTATATTTGAGGAGGAAGCACAAAAGTTTAAATCATGTTAATTAGTAGAGGTGATGAACATTACCATTGAAATCTACCTGATGACTTTACAGACATACACAGGCGCCAAGGATCCGAGTGCAAATGATTATGACTACTAACAATCAGATACATACAGATTAGAGACACATGTGCCGGCATCTCAGTGTTAGTAGCAAATCAATGAGTCTTTTTGTAAGAAACAGTCTATTTTAGCATGAAATGGAGATCTCTCTTGAGGGTTAAAAGCTCATTCAATTTTATGTCTTACAGGGCTTATACTGAATTCAATACTGTATAACTGTATTGATTCAACAGCAAACCTAGAAATTTTATAGCCACTTTTGAAGGAGCTGAATCTTTGCTCTGGAAACTGTTATTTGGCATGTTAAAGCTGTAATGATATGCTGCTTCTAAAAAAAAGTAAAAAATATTTTAAAAATGCTATTTTTTTTGCTTACACTTTTTGTCTATTAAAAAAAAATTTGTTTTTGGTCTTTTTGAGACAGGGTCTCCCTGTTGCCACAGCTGGCCTGGGATTCACTATGGAGACCAGGCTGGCCTAGAACTCAAAGAGATCTGCCTGCCTCTGCCTCCCAAGTGCTGGGGTTAAAAGCACGTGTCACCATGCCCGGCAAATAAAATATTTTTTAAAAAGAAAAAGAGACCAAGGCTGATAGCACACAACTGCAATCCCAGCACTTAGGAGGTGGAGGCTGGAGAATCAGTAGTTCAAGTCTGACCTCTTCAACTACTTAGGAAGTTTGAGGCCAGGGATAGCTTTAGTTGTCAACTTGACCCATTTGGAAGAGGAAATTGCAACTGGGGCATTGCTTGCATTGGATTGGCTTGTGGCTAAAAAAGAGACCAAGGCTGATAGCACACAACTGCAATCCCAGCACTTAGGAGGTGGAGGCTGGAGAATCAGTAGTTCAAGTCTGACCTCTTCAACTACTTAGGAAGTTTGAGGCCAGGGATAGCTTTAGTTGTCAACTTGACCCATTTGGAAGAGGAAATTGCAACTGGGGCATTGCTTGCATTGGATTGGCTTGTGGCTATGTCTGTGGGGCATTTTCTTGATTGTTGAGTGATTTTGGAGGGTCCAGCCCACTGTGGGTGGTGCCATCCCTGGGCAGGTTGTCTTGTATAAGAAAGCAGGCTGAGCACAGGCCAGAGGAACAAGCCAGTAAGCAGCACTCTTCCATGGCCTGTGCTCCAGGTTCCTGATCTGAGTTCCTGCCTTGGCTTCCCTTGACGATGGACTGTGCTTGTAAGTTAAATAAAGCCTTTCCTCCCCAAGTTGGCTTTTTAAGTGTTTTTTATCACAGCAACTAAAGGCAAGCTAGGGCAGGCTACATGTGGCCCTTTGCAGAAAAACAAAAACAAAACAAAAAATAAGGAGGGAAAAAGAAAATAAAAAGACCACAAATTGATAAATGATAATCACAACCCATAAAAATTATAAAGCACTTGAACCTATGGAATAAGTAAAATAAAATTCAACAATAGAAACAACTCTACAGAAAAACAGGAAAGAGGCTTGTGTTTGACATAGGAAATACAGAAAGCCTCCCCTTCCCCAAATCTGAAAATAAAGTGCAACCTGACTGGTAGAGATTTTACTGAGACCATAAAATATGAACATTTATAGAACCTAACACTTGTAAAAATTATAAGTATGGTAAGACCAACTGCTGAAGAGGCTGTGAGTCAACAAGGGCTGGTAAAGTGATGTAACTACTTAGGAAAACAATTTGGCATTTTCTTATAAAGTTTAACGTATATATTCTCTATCACCCAGCAGTTTCACTAGTAGTATGGTATATACACACACCTTTGAGAAACTTCCCTGTGTTAATGAAAGACTAGAAGTGGCCCAAATATTAACTGATCGTAGAATAAATTATACATTTGCAACACTATTCTACAGCAATGAAAAACACACTAAAGTAAAGATTCATATGGATGAATCTTTAAAAGAGCAGCATTAAACAATGCCTGATGACTCTCATGTCCTATGGTAAAAATCTAGAAACAGAGGACTTTATTTGCTCAAGATACAGCTATCCTTTACTCACAGACTCACAAGTACTTATGGAAGCATTTTCACATGTACCTGGAGTAGCTGGCATTTCACAGGGAGGAAGGAATTAATAACATGAGGAAGCTGGCAGGATCTTGAACTGCCATTAGTGCAGATGCACAATTCAAATACTAGCTTGGGCTTCTTTGAAAACCAAGTCCTTAAGCTTGACATCAGTGGATCCATACTTGGATCAAAATACTTCGGCTGCTCTCATAATCACCTTTACCAATTTGCATTTTTTTTTCTGAGACAAAGTCTCATTATGTAGCCTTGCCTGGTCTAGAACTCACTATATAGACCAGGTTGACCTTGAACTCATAGAGATCTGCCGGCCTCTGCCTTCTGAGTGCTGAGATGAAAGGCATGCACTACCATGCCCAGCTTACCAAGTTGCATTTTAGTATATGCAATAAATTTCAGTAACCAGTCAGGTTAAAAATCATTACTGCACATATCACAATAAATTTGAGAATAATTTCTGGTAAAAATTTCATGACCCAAAATAAACGTAACATGACAATAATTTTTTTCATTTAAAAATATTTTATTTATTATTTTTATGTGTATGAGTGTTTTGCCTGGATGTAAGTGCACCACATGCATGCAATGCCAGCAGAGGCCAGAAGAAGGTGTCAGGTCCCATGGAACTGGAGTTAAGGATGGTTGTTAGCTGTCATGTGGGTGCTGGGAATCAAACTCGGGTCCTCTGGAAAAATAGCAAATGTTCCTAACCAGTGAGCCATATCTCCAGCCCTGATAACAATTTTTGAATTAGCAAAATGAAAGTCTTTGCCACATTTAAAAAGTATGATATCCTACAAATTAGCTAGACTAATATTCTATAAGAACATAAATATCTTTTATGAGAAATCAAAATATTACAAAGAAAAGATACCTTTTCTTAGACATGGATATCGGAATAATTTTACAATTCCATAGTCATCAGCTGTAACTAACACTTGGCCAACATAATTTCCATCTACTGAATTTACATCATTGATATCTGAATACTTGGGCCATATTCCATTGACTTCAAGGCCTGAAACGCATGTCCATGAAGCCCAGTGAACACCTTTTGCTTCTTCTTTATTTGTCACTTCTTTTCCTCCTAAAAATAGAACAGTCTTCATTTAACAACAGGCTAAGCTACAAGATAAAGTAATAGCTGTCATTCCCAGGGGGCTATCAAGGTGCTGGGCTCTTCTGAGAAAGCTAAAGCTGCATTTGGGTGAGTGAGACCCTCACTTCTCGCAAGTGGTGGCCCCTGAGCTCACGAGCATCTACTCTGCTCTCATCCCACTTCGAAGCGCTCTCAAGGGGCATATGGTAAATGACTTCATTAAAATAGCTGATGTAAACCTTGAATCTTTTTGGCCTAACTTGTTTGCAAGTCCTGGCTGACAGCAGTAATGAGAGCCTCATCTGCAATGTGGGGCTGGTGAACCTGCCCCAGCAGCTGGGACTGCCACAACAGGAGGTCCTGTCCACTCTACAGCTGCTGCCCATCCCCTGCCCCGAGAAGAGAGTGGAAGCAGAGCAAGACGACTCTAAGATGTCTGCTGATGACGAGACCTCTTCTGTAACACATTCAATGGAAAGCCAAACTTTTTTTTTCATGCAGTTTCATTTATATAGGATCAAGGTTTATGATCTAATCTTGGTTTTCTCAGGATCTAGCCCAGGCATTGGAAAACAATTTATAAAATCAGACCAGATCTGTAGCCATGATAATGATCCTTTATTTGATAGGCATTTTCTTTTCCTTCAAAGCTTTGAAATTTTGGCAGACCAATATATAAAACTATGTTCTCTGGAATCACTACCATGGCAGATCAAAGATGGGTAACCTAAAGCCTGAATACATTCTAAAGGCAATGGCCTAGCCTCCCAGGTAAATTTTGACTTTGTTACTACTCTGTTGCTATCACATGAACCTCAGTGGCACTGCACTCTGAAACAAAGTTTTTCTTCTATTGTTAGTGTTTTACATCCTATGATTTCCTCCTAAGTATACACTAAAACCTTTATATAAAATTCAGTTAAGTTTTTACTTATTTATTTTTTAATTTTTTTTTTTTTTTTGTCTTTTTGAGACAGGGTCTCCCTGCAGTCCCAGTTGTCCTGGAAGTCACTATATAAACCAGGCTGACCTCAACCTTTTTTTTAAAAACTTTATTGAGAATTTCATATATGCAATATAAGGTGTTTTGATCAAATCCACACCCACTCCCTCCCCTCCAACACCTCCCAAGTCTCCCCATCACTTTTTTCTAACAACTTCATGTACTATTTCCTTTCTTTTCTCTTTTCCTCTCTCTCTCTCTCTCTCTCTCTCTCTCTCTCTCTCTCTCTCTCTCTCTCTCTCTCTCTCTCTCTCTCTCACAACTCTAACATTTTTCCCTCTGAAGAGGTAACCCTAAAATCTTTTAGGGATTAGATAAGTTCCCAAATACCTTTGACATTTTTGGCCTTTGGAACAGAGTATGTTGCTAAGAGGCTCAAGGACATTTTGACTTTTAGTCAAGAAACTGGTTACTTTTCTTTGGAGTCTTCTTACCCTAACTGCCTAGCTCTTACCCTGACTGCCTAGCCAATTCCCACCTCCTATTCTTATCATACTATCCTCTGAAGAGATCACCCAAATTATTGATAGGGAATTGGGACATAGACCGCTTGAAAGCCAAACTCTTAAAAAAGAAACGAGAAAGGGATAAATCAGGTATTAAAAAAAGAAAAAGAAAATAAATAAGGGAAAAAGTTGAAAAGTATCAAAAAAGAATGACAAGTAGAGAATATATTTGTATTAGGTAATAGGACTTTAGGACTCAGTAAATCAAATCAAGAGTGATTGACTCCACAAAGCATCATTTTAAATAAAACTGTAAGATGTAACTTATTTTAGTCTGGAATTTTACTTTGGAAATGAAAGAATTCAGCATTGTGGTTTCCAAGTATTGGAAGATGTGGTGGGGATGGGAAGATGCTGTCAAAGAGCAGAGAGTCAACAGCATGTTGACTATTACTAATAATACTATACTATTGCATGGTCTACATAAAATAGCACTAACAGAGATCTTGAATGTTTTCACCACTCACAAAAAATATATAATAATTATATGAGGTGACAGATATGTTACTTTGATTATGGAATCATTTCACAATGTACAACATATGTACATAAACACATCACAATGGGCCAGGAGTTATAGCGCATGCCTTTAATTGAAGTACAGGGAGGGTCTGTGAATTCCAGGACAGCTTGGGCTACATATTGAGATCCTGTATCAAAAAAAAAAAAAAATCACATTATATGTTGCAAATATATTGAATTTTTATGTTAATTATGATCTAGTAATCTGTTGAGAAGAGTGCTAAAAAGATGCTGGTTTTACAGAAAAGAATACAATGCCTGAAATAGCTCAGATTGTCTCTGACTGTGTATAATCAAATATAAGTTACAATTCATTTTTAATAAAAATTTAAATATCATATAGACATTTAAAATCCACAAACTATATATAATGTAGTAGAAAAATTTACCTGGCATTCTATAAAAATGTCTTTTTCCATTTCCATCATTTGTCTGTAAATATCTATTGTCTGAAGACCAGTCCAGATGAGTAATGAAACTGAGTGATCCAACACATTCTCCAACTTTTTTATAACGCTGAGCAACTCCATAAATATCAACTGAGCTGTCATTGCAGCCAACAGCAAGGTAAGTTCCATCTGGTGAATACTTTAACTCATGAATTGCTTCTTTCCTGTCTTTAACATGTACAACTTCAGTCATATCTCTGTTAAAAAGAAAAAAAAAAAAAAGACAGTATGAAAAAATGCCACAAGATAACTTTTTAAATTTCCTCAAAATAACTATGAGATAACTATGAGGTTTTAAATCAGGTATTTATAAACTATAAAATAAATGTAAATAAGATAAGTAATATTAGCTCAGGAAAAATCATTTTACTGACCAGAAATAAATAGGGACAATATATGCCAGAAATAGAGAAAAATGGGATTAGGGAATATGTGGTGACAGAATGTTTGTCTGGTGTGAGGTCCTGGTTTGAATGTCAACACTGAAAAATGTAGGAGAGAAAAATGCGAAATTTCAGTGTACAAATTATCATAGTTTTAAGAACCCTAGAAATCCTAACTAAATTTCTGGATTCAGATAACAAATCATTCAAAGTCATTGTTTGTTTTATGATGAAAGTTCTTTGTAAATACTGAGTTATAAAAGATTTTTAAGCACTTTAATTTTCAAGTAAATTTTTTTAGTCAAATGTGGAAAATCATGTGCAAGAAATAAGAAAAATATGAAAGAACACACCGCTTCAGCAATATAGTTGAATATATCCCTTTATAAAGCTACCACTAGTTGTTTTTATTCTTTTTTGTTCCTCACTAGTAATTTTTTTTTTTTTTTTGGTCTTTTTGAAGCAGGGTCTCCCTGTAGCCCCAGCTGTCCTGGAACTCACTATGTAGACCAGGCTGGCCTTGAACTCACAGAGATCCGCCTGCCTCTGCCTCCCAAGTGCTGGGACTAGAGGCGTGCACCACCACGCCTGGCCCACTAGTAAATTTTATTTCAAATGTTTCCTTTTTCCTGAGAGAGAATCTCATTATGTAGCTCAGGCTGGCCTCAAACTCTTAATACTTTTGCTTCAGCTTCCTAAATGCTTAAAATGTGGGCATACACCTTGATCTTGTTTTTTGTTGTTGTTGTTGTTTTTTTTAAACTACAACCCCATTGCTGTAGGTTCATATGAGCAAGGTCCCAGGAGCCTGCAAGACTCTGTTTACATATGGTCATGCACCTCCTCCCCTAGCTCTTACAACCTTTCCACCTCCTCTCGAGCAATGGTCCCTAAGCCCATGCAAACTCAATCAGACAAAAACCCAGCAAAGAACTGGGGAAATGGGAGCAGATCCAGCATTAGCCAAAGAACTACTGGCAGCTGATTACAGCAGGGTGAGAGCATTCATCTTTTTTAAGGGAGAGACTCTAGATAAGCTGACTAGATCCCAGTGGATGAACTTGTACTGAGGCATGTCTGGGTACAATAACTTGACTCAAGAGGCCTTAACATATATGACAGAATGCATGAAATATGATGGGGGAGCTATGGAACGATCCAGATGGGGGAGGGGTATAAAGATGATTAAGATGTTGTATATGAGACGCACACAAATTCAATAAAATGTACATTAAAAACAAAATTAAATAGGGGCTGGAGAGACGGCTCAGCAGTTAAGATCACTGGTTGTTCTTGCAGAAGACCCAGATTTGAATCCCAGCACCCACATGGCAGCTAACAACTGTCTGTAACTCCAGTCCCAGGGGATCTGACAGTCTCTCTGACCTCCGAGGGCACTGTATGACACAGGTGCACTTACCTACATGCAGGCAATACACACATACACATAAAATAAAAATAATAAGCCTGGTGTGGTAGCACACGCCTTTAATCCCAGCACTTGGGAAGCAGAGGCAAGCAGATCTCTGTGAGTTCAAGGCCAGCCTGGTCTACATAGTGAGTTCCAGGACAGCTGGGGCTACAGGGAGACCCTGTCTCAAAAAGACCAAAAAAATAAATAAATAAAAATAAAAAATAAAAAATAAATTAAATATATAAATTTCAAAAACTAAAAACCAAACAAAAAAACCTACAACTCAACCATTCTTTTTTCAAGGATGCCTTAAAATAAATTTCCAAAATAACAGGTGGTGATAACAGCCACAGAAATATGTGAACACTTAGTTTAACACAAATGAGATTTTAAAAGTTCTAGAACCCAAAGGAGGAGTGGGGAGGAAAAAGATTCAGGGAGACCAGGGGTAAGAGGAAGAAAGAATCACTACCTCTTAGCACCAGAGATTTTTCCCCACGTAAATTCTGTATTGCTCATTTGCAATGCCCTAAATAGGTAATCCCAGAAGCAGAAGTTTGTTTCTAGGTTTTTAAAGTTTCTAAATGGACAAATTAGTACAAAACCCTCAAATTTCTTTCAGTAACACTGAATACTTGTTTTGCTTTAGTATTAGGGATTTAAACTTGAACTTACCTTTTCTGAGAGAGATGGACACAATTATGACAAAGTGTGATAACTGCTCAAAGGGACTATGTAAAACCCTAAGAACTACTGGAAGAAGCCTGACTAGACTGAAAGCAGGAAGGAGCCAAAGCAGGGAAAACCTGCTGACCATAAAACCTGAGTAGTTGCTCAGTCTAAAGGAAGATAGAGCAGGAAGCAAGGCATGGAGGCAGGCAGTGTGTGGATACAAAAATTAGTGGGCAAGGCAGAAAGTGATGGGGCTAAAGAGACAAACTAGAGCAGTCTGAGGATCCGGTACAGTGCCAAGGAGCCTGGATTTCCCCATGGTTATTAACCATACAAAGACAAAGATGAAGTCAGGTGTAGTGGATCATGCCTGTAATCTCAGCATTCAGGAGGCTGAGGCAAGAGAATTCCCATGAGTTTGAGGCAGCTTGGGATATGATGAGTTCCAGGCCAGACTGACATAGAGTGTAAGGCCCTTTTCTCAAAAAGAAGAAAAAGATGAAAATCAGCCCCTTAGTTGCAAAAGGCAAAGAGGAGAAAGGAGGGAGGGAAGAGAAGGAAGGGCAGAGTTACATAGAAAGAGCACTCAATTCAGCAATATTCATTGTTATCCTCTGCTGAGCAAGGTCCCATTCTTCCTCTACATGAAGTTTGGACATCATGGCTATTCATTCTAGGCAGAGGGTTCACTTGGCAGTGACTCCCCAAACCTTGTGAGCTGGGAATTCTTCTTCTATTCTATGCTCTCACCAACAATGTATATCTTTACTCTGGGATGGATTACAAACTCTTACTATACGAGTTTTCCAAGACTTAGGTCTTGTCCTTCTCTTCAGAGAACTCTATCATTCTGAGCTGGAGAGATGACTCGGCTGCTCTTGCAGAAGACCTGGGTTCAGTTCCCAGCATGACATAGTGGCTCACAACTGCCTGTAATTCCAGTTCCACAGGGGTCTGAGGCCCTCTTGGTGTCCTGGTGGCCACTGCATGCACGTGGTGCACATACATAAATGCAGGCAAAACACTCATATACATAAAATAAAAATAACAAATAATGTTTTAAAAAAAGATGTATATTTCAAAGAACTATATCACTCATGTATCAGTTTCCCCAAAAGTTTTCATAAAGATTTAAAAAATTTTTTAAATATTTTATTAGTATTGCTTTCTTTAGCAAATAACAATAACATTGAAAAACTCTGTATACGTTGGAGAATTTGGAAAGGAAGCAAATGGCAAACTCACAGCAGCAGTGACAATTTCATGTTAATGTTGAAGCTCGGTAGTACAGTTTTGTCAGTAAATAATATTAAAAAAATTATAGTAGACATATAAGTACAAATTTACATTCTAAAATACAGTTACATGTCTTTAGTTTGAGAATTATATAAGTTTAGTTTTTACAGTGCTTACTTTTTTAAAACTTCCCAGATTGTGATTTTTGTTTGTGTTTATTTTTTGAGACAGGGTCTCCCTCGCTTAGAACTTGCTATGTACAACAGGATGGTCTTGATCTCACAGAGAGCCACTTGCCTTTGCTGGGATTAAAGACAGGAACCACCATGACCGGCTCCAGACTATGATTTTTATATCTACAAGTTCACTTAGGTGTTTTACATTTTTTGTAAGGCATAGGTGAAGGCACAAAGAAGCTACTTTAGAGTAACAAATATAACGGAAAACCTCTTGTTGCCTGGGAATGGGAACAACTGGTCCAACATCAAGGCCCAGATGCCCAGGACCATCTGTGGAGTTAAGATCACAGTTGGCCCTGAGGAGGTGGGAAGTCCATTCTAGGGAATCAGTCCTCCCAAACCAGAATCTACAAATGACAGAGACCTCCACTGTCCCCAGCCCAACACAGAGGCAAAGCCACTGCTATGCACAACCTGGGGCTTCAGGGGAAGGGGCTGTGGGAAATGCAGCTTCTCAGAGAAGGCTGAAACTGCTGCCCAGCATTGGGAAGGTCTCCATCCCTCCACTCCTCTCCACCATCAGCCTACCACCAGAGGAATGTGGAACTCTGGCTTGCTGTAGGGGGACCAAAGCCCCAGGCCCATATGAGGGGATCACAGCTCCAGGCTCATGGGAGAAGACCATGACTCCAGCTCACAGGAAGGGTCCCCAGCTCCAGTACTGGGTAGTGGGGGGCGGCTTCAGTTCAGAGAAAGGGAACATAAGCCTGGCTCACAAGAGGAGACCAACACTCCAGCTTCCAGGACAAGACCATAACTCCAGCTCACAAGAGGGGACTATAGCTCCAGGCTCATGGTGGGGGTTGGGGAGGGATGACAATGACACCACAGCTCTAGCTCACAGGAGGGGACCACAACTCTGGCTTATGGGAGGAGACCCAAGTCCAGCCCTCAGACAGGGATAGGATTTTTTTTTTTGAGACAGGGTCTCCGGGTCTCCCTGTAGTTCCAGCTGACTTGAACTCACTATGTAGACAAGGCTGGCCTTGAACTCACAGTGATCCGCCTGGCTCTGCCTCCCGAGTGCTGGGATTAAAGGCTTGTACCACCACTCCTGGCAGGATTTTTTTAATTAACAAGTTTTCTTTAATAGTTTTCTTTCCTTTTAATGTGTCAGAGAAACTTCTTTATGAGAGAAAGTAGTTATCATATAATCATAATGTTGTCATGGCAATATAATATGCACTATAAAACTAATAAGCCAATGTTATCTTATATTCTATGCTGAGAGAGAGAGAGAGAGAGAGAGAGAGAGAGAGAGAGAGAGAGTCTGTGTGTCTGTGTATGGTAGGTAAGTGGCATGGTAATAGCAAACAGAGGACTTAAGTTATTTTTATTTCTTTTTTATTGAGATCAATTAAGTCTCTAGAACAAAAATACTATTAAAATACACACACACACACACACACACACACACACACACACACACACAGTGCACAGAATTAGTACTGTTAGATTCCAAAACATTCTATGTTTTTCCAACTATAACAACCATTTTTTGTGGAACATTGGTACACCTATATAAACAAATCTTTCTTTAGCAAAAAATTGTAGACAGGTAAATAGAAGAGGAGCCCATACATATTCATTCTTTTCTTTTTTTAAATATTTAAATATTTGTTTTCTTTATAATTTTGTGGGAGGGGGGACATATGCATGTGAGTGCAGGTACCCTGGAGATCAGAGGTGTTGGGTTCCATGGAGCTGAGGTCACAGGGGGTTGTGAGCTACCTAAAGGGGTGCTGGGAACTAAACTTGGGTCCTCTGGAAGAGCAACAAGCACTCTTAACTGCTGAGCCACCTCTCCAGTCCCATTACTAAGCATTCTTAATGCCCTCAAAAGTTCTTGAGTTTAATTTTCCAACAAAGCTATTTTTATGAGTATATTTACTTAATCAAACTAACATTTAGAACACATATAAATAAGAAAAGGATCAGAAAGGATATGGAGGTAGAAACTATGAGTACTTTACATTCTAACTGATGAGGAGACCACTGTTGCTACTCCTACCTAATGGCATACCTTACTCTAAGGACAGTGAATGAGCCATCCTTCATTCCAAGGGCAAGATGGATTCCATCAACATTTACAGCAGCACATCGAATCGGTTCTTCCATATTACACCGTGCTATTAAAGCATGATCTACGAGGCTCCAGATCCTGTATAATTTAATTAAAAAGTAAAAAGAATAGTTAACATATACTGTAAAAGTGATAGTCTCCATGAGAATTCTTTTTTTCATTTTTGAAACAGGGTTTCCCTGCAGCCCCAGCTGGCCTGGAACTCATTATGTAGATCAGGCTGGCCTCAATTTTACAGAGATCTACCTGCTTTGCCTCCCGAGTGCTGGGTAAAGGTGTGCACCACCATGCCTGGCCCATGAGAATATTTTGAGAAAGAAAAACCTATATATTTTAATTTTCTGTTCTGTGGGAAGGGGTTTTTGCCCTATGAAAATATACTGTTCATGATTAAAATGAAAGAGGCTGACAGAATTTTTTTTTTTTTTAATGATACAAGAGGGTTGGTAAGATGGTTCAGAAGGTAAAAGTGCTGCTACACAAGGCTATGAGACCTGGGTTCAATCCCCAGAACCAACAGTGGAAAGAGTACTGACTTCCAAGTTATTCTCTGACTTCCACATCTGACATGGCATACATGCACTCTCACACACACTCTCTCACACATAAAGACACAATAATAAATAAAAATTTAAAAATAATACAACAGACTACTACAATCCAACTGTTAATCTTAGGTATATAATCTCTACTCTGAGCCAAAGGGAGCCTTAAATTATATATGTAGTCTTTCATATATACCTCAAATTATATATGTAGTCTTTTAAGTGGAATACTTAAAATATTCAAATTCAGAAACTGTTCCAGACTACAAAATTACAGATTAGTAACAAGATAACTTTAAAAAACCCACTCTTTGGGTTAGAGAGATGGCTCAGTGGTTAAGAGCACTGACTGCTCTTGCAGAGGACCTGGGTTCGATTCCCAGCACCCACATGGCAGCTATGAAACCTCCTTAACTCCAGTTCCAGGGGAATCTGACGCTTTCTTCTGACCTCTGCGGCACTGAATGACACAGGTGCACTCACACACATTCAGGCAATACATTCATACACATAAAATAAAAATAATAAATTAAAAAAATTAAAAACCCACTCTTTAAAAAAATAAAGATTATGATTTCAAATAATTTAAAGGACAAAGAAAACATACTAATGACAATCTAGTTAACATTTTCAATAAGCTGCAACAAAACTTCATATCAAAACTTGTGGATATAGAAGCTGGAGAGATGGCTCAGTGTAAGTTAAGAGAATGTCTTACTTGTCCAGAAGACCTGAGCTCAGTTCCTAGCACCCAGATCAGGTGGTTCACAGCCATCTATAACTCTAGCTCCAGAGAATCTAGCACCCTCTTCTGGGTGCTTCCATGAGCACCCCACACACATGGCAATGTATACATGCATACATAACAAACTGAAAATTAAAAAAATATATACTCACCATGTTGACACAGTGTTAAAACTTCTGGACTATAGCTGAAATACGTAGGGAGAGCATTTAGGAACTATAGCTAGCAAATAAAAAGCTCACTGCCAAGAACGAATTTCCTCTTTTTGGAGCTGTTGACCAGGGGTGTCCCATAGACCCTTAAACAATACTGGCTATTGCCAAAACTTTATGTTAAGCCCTATTGCTGACCAAGACACTACATACACAACGTACATAGAACAAACAAGAAGAAATCAAGCTGGTACTGATCTCAACACTTCATCTCTACTGGCTAGCTTTCATAGTGCTGGAAGGTACCATGCATGCTATTGAATGAGAAAAGTAATCATCAACATTGCCCAGCTTGAACACTGTGAGCTGCAGTAATAACTGGCCTGGCAAGATATGCCCATTGGTACATTAATGGCATGAATGGTATGGGAGTAACCAACCACCATCTGATTGGAGTTAAGGCCCACTTCACAAGATGGAGCTCATATCTGGAACTGTAATCAGGGCCAAGAATCTGTGGCTAGACAGGTTATAGCCCCTGGAGGAGAAACTCCTATTACCATTCTGCTAAATAGACATATTATTAAATTGACTCCTAATGGCATTAGTAGATTAGTGCAACTCTTAACTCTCACCAGAGAAGCTTCTTCTTGCAGCAGATGGCAGATAACACAGAGACCCACAATTGCAGATGTTAATCCCTAAATGGGACATCTACATCACACTATGTATTTTTTAATTTTCAATTTGTATGTATGCGTGTATACATCGCCACATGGGTATGGGGTGCTCATGGAAGCCAGAAGAGGGTGCCAGATTCTCTAGAGCTAGAGTTATAGAAGGCTGTGAACCACCTGATTTGGGTGCTGGGAACTGAGTGCAGGGATCACTGTGGAAGAGGGGGTGAAAAGACTGTAAGAGTCAGAGATGGTAGATGAATACAAAGAAACTGTTATCTGGATACCACAGGGTAGTTGCACACATGAACCCACAGTACTTGTGACAGCATGCACAAAACCTGTGCAAGTTTCAAGCCAGACAAATACCCAGCATGGAGGGGGGGAAGGTGGGCAAGAAGCCCCAGCCCTAGCTAAGGAATTATTGACAATCAACAGCTGCTGGGAGAGGGAGAGTCAGTTTTCTCTAAAGGTGTGATGCTGTGTTGACCAGGTTGACCAGGCTCCAGGGGACCAACCCATATCTAAGAGCATTTGAGGAACACAAATTAGACTTGACAGGCCTTAAGAAAAATAGTAGAGGACATGAAGTGAGGGAGGTTAGGGAGGTGGAGGTGGGCCTGAGAGGAGATGTGGAGGGGTCTGAATATAATCAGAATCCAGTCTCATATATGCGAAAATGTGGTATATACACAACATGGGGTGTTATGCAGCCACAAAAATCAAATCATGGCATTTATAAGAAAATGGATGGAACTGGAGATGATTACTACAAGTCAGACTCACAAAGGCAAATATCACATTTTCTATTGTTATGTGGAGAGTAAAGACATGAAAATAGAAGGAATACTATTTGAGAAAAGGAAGGAGAACAGGGTAAGGGGAGGAGTGATAAGAGAGCTGCAGAGGGTAAAAATGGTCCAAGTACATGATATGCATGCATGAAAATGCTTTAAGTTTGCCAATTATTTTTTGTAATTATTATACTATACACTACAAAAAATCTTTTCTTAAAAATGCTTTCAGCAAGAACAGATGCTCAGAGTCAGAGTAAAGAATATTGAGAGCACCAATAACTAATTTAAAAATAAGGCCAATACCTGAGTTGTTCTCCTTAAGTCTAAATGCTACTGATACTAATTTATTTACTTGAGTAGTCAATGCCAAGTTTGAAGTTATCAAGGAATTAGTTTCTATGATTAGTTCTCCTAGAAAAAAATAATGACAAGAATATTTTCAAATACACTAAGAAAATGCTGATTAAATGCAAGCTAAACTGGAATATGCTGAGTTGTAATTGGTGGTGGTAAAATAACTCCATGTCTTTACGTACCAATAATGTTAATGATCAACTCAATTTCCTCTAGTAGATTTAAATATTATCAATTCTTTGAATTTTTCTCAGAAATGGAACCTGAAAATCCTTACTTGCCCTACTGTAATGGGAGCCCTAGGAAGCAGGATCCTTACAGGAAATAGCATGTTAGGCATGAAAATATCTTGTCTTGAGAGCCCTGGCTTATCTTGCGAGAGAAAGGTTATCTCTCTGGCTTTTGTTTTATCGTGTGTGTGCGTGTGTGCATGTGCGTGTCTGTGTGTGTGTGTGTGTGTGTGTGTGTGTGTGTGTGTGTGTGTATGTGTGTATGTATGTATTCAGACCCAAAACCACAGCTCAGCTCATTCCAGTGCCACTACCACACAGCAGTTTAATGGATTGGCAGTGGTAATGCTAAAAGGCACTCCTTTAGAACTGAGGATTTAAAGAAACACCCAGACTGGGCATGGTGGCACACACCTGTAGTCCCAGCACTTGGGAGGCAGAGACAGGTGAATTTCTGTGAGTTCAAGGCCATCCTGGTCTACATAGTGAGTTCTAGGCCAGCTGGGGCTACAGGGAGACCCTGTTTCAAAAAGAGCCGCCCCCCCCCGAAAAAAAAATTCTTTATGCTGGGCATGGTGGCACACACCGGTAGTCCCAGTGCTTGGGAGGCAGAGGCAGGAGGATCTCTGTGAGTTCAAGGCCATCCTGGTCTACATAGTGGGTTCCAGGCCAGCTGGGGCTACAGGGAGACCCTGTCTAAATAAGAGAAAAAAAAAAAAAGATCTTTACCATAAAATAAAATTATTGGGTTACTCTTAAAAACACTGTGGCCCAGTGGTCAGGCACTAGTGTGTGTGTAAGGTGCTAGATTTGATCCTTAATGCTGCAAATATTAATAAATTTAAAACTCTAATCATGGCTTTTACATTTATTAATAATGCTTTAGATACTGTTTGTAGTCATTTTAATTGGTATGAGCCATATCTCTATAGTTAACACTGGGCAATCTTACTTTGTTCATCTTTCATCTCAAAACAAATTTGTTAAATTTATTTTTAGTATTTTAAATTATGTGTACGTGTGTGGGTAGGGTGTATGTGTAAGTAAGTGCAGGTACCCCCACCCCACCCCAAGTAGAGGCCATGGATACCCCAGGAACTGGAGTTACATGCAGCTGTGAGCCATTCATCATCATGGGTGCTGGAAAAAACTCAGGTCCTCTGCAAGAGCAGTAAGAACCCTTAACTCTCATCTGTCCAGCCTGCAAAACAAATTTAAAATTTAAGATTTAAATGTAAAATATGTATAAATGAGTGTTTTAAAGGGGTTTTCTCAAAAGCTAAAACTTTTATATGACTATATTACTAAACCAATCACAATTTGCTTTTAAGCTTAACCTAGAAGTTTATTCAACTGTTCATTACATGTGAACACCTGAAAACTAAATCACAGTGAAAAATACATTTAAAGCATGATTAAAAAAAATATGTTCTTGCTTGGTAAATATTGGTTCTCAGTCTGCATTTGAAATCTTGTAGTGCCTCACTTTCTTATGGTTGTTAACCCAAGAAATAAATTCACTTACCTGACTGAACGGTCATCACTGCCAGTCACAGCCAAAGGTTTAGTAGGATGAACAGCCAGTGCCCAGAGTTCACCTTCACAATGCCCTTGCATAATTAGGAAAGGTTTATTTCTTTCATGTACAACAATTTCAAAAATTTCACTGTCTTGTGTTCCAACTAAAATGTGGTCACCTCGCCAACAAACACTCCTCACAGATAAACCTAGCAAAAAGCATAATGTCAATATTATATTTATGTCAATGTTATAATAATAGAATGCAGTCTACACCTTGGTTGTGAGAGTATGGAAGTCCTTGGTATATACTCACATTTTCTCTTGTTTGTTTGCTTGTTTTTGAGACAGGGTCTCCCTGTAGCCCCAGCTGGCCTGGAACTCCCTGTGTAGACCAGATCTCACAGAGATCCTCCTGCCTCTGCCTGAGTGCTGGGATTAAAGGTGTGCACCACCATGCCTGACACACTTCTATCTTCTTACTGTCTATATTCCTTTCTATACAGAATGATGCATGTCTTTTTTGTATGCCTAATTTCTAACCATTCTTCAGAAAAACCCTCTTCTTCCTTCTGCCTTGTTACACAATTTCAGAGGCTCAGACTACTTTTTCAGCCAAAGTCTCACAAGCATTTATACGATCATCAACCAATGAGTAAACACTCAGGAAGTATCTTTATAGAATTATATTATTTTTCCTTTGTAAGTATCTGAGCTTTTTACTTCTTTTCAATTCTTATATCTGTTCATCAACAGATTTAAGAAAAGAGAACTCTCCATTTACTTTATCTATATTACTCCATAGTTCCCTTAGGACCCTCATGGAAACTTTTCCCCAAGTTTTTTTTTGTTTTGTTTTGAAACAGGATCTCACTGCGTAGCCCTGGCTGACCTCGAACTCACAGAGATCCTTCTGCCTCTGCCTCTCATGTGCTGGAATTAAAGAAGTGCACACCACACCCAGCCCAGTTTTTTAAAAATCTTTACAGCATTGCAATATAAAGATACTGTGTACCTCATAGTATTCTCATGAGAATCTAATGAAAAGAATCTAATGATTTTTGTAAGCTTCAGAACAACATTCACCAAAACTAATGAAAATAGAACAGTTAACGTCCAAAAGTTTATTCTGTGAGAAATACTCTTCTAAGTATTTCACACATATTAATTCACTTAATACTGTAAGATATTCTAGGTAGTCTTAATTTATAGATAAAGCTAAATAATTAGGCCAAAGTTACACATCTCCTGAGTGACAAGAATATGACTTAAATATAGACCTATGTTACTTTGATCTTAGCTTTATAATTCAATCATATCAGTGATTTAATATAAGATCTATAGTGAGAGATCTCATTTTATTATGTCAATTTTTAAAATTTCATAATTGCTGAAAAACAAAAGTTGAAGAAAGAAAAACCAATTAAATCATCTTTAACAAAAGTTCCCCAATTTCCAGTGTACTTTTACTGGTAATAGTTTATTTGGTAATAGTTATAGTTAGCATTCCAATAGTAAAATATTGTCAAAATCCAAGGTTAACAAATCAGCTATCAGATTTCCCTGTAAGTCCCATTATAATAAGCATTAGATATACAAAAGAATCTTTGTCATGACAGTGTACTTAAACTCTCTATAAACAAAAGTCCTCCAAGTTAGACAGAATGTGTGTAAAAGACGTTATGCACACTAAAAGAGAGAAACCTTGACTCATTCACAATTAGCATAGTAATAGCACATTTAGTTTACTATTACCTTTGTATCCCTGGTCTGTTTCCCTGAGATCAATCACAGTAATCGGTTTAAAAGTTAAATCCCAAAGACGAATACAGCCATCTCTACCACCGGTAGCAAAGCCTTCTTCACAAGCATTCATACTAAAAATTCCTGCCTACATAAAGGTATAAAATGATTTAAAAATACAAGCTTCAGAACATCTACTAAATGAAGTTAGAAATCCACTCAGAAATATTTTGTTATGACACAGAAATAAACATATCAGAAAACACAAAAGAAAATCTATAAATGGGGACAGGAGAGATGGCTCAATGGTTAGAAGCATCAGCTACTTTTGCAGAGGACCTGGGTTTGGTTCCCAGCACCCACGTGGTGGCTAGCAATGCTGCACGACTCCAGTTCCAGGGAATCTCATGTCCTCTTCTGTCCTCTGCTGGCATTGCACACACAGGGGCACTTTCATACATGCAGGAAAAACACTCTTATACAAAAATATAATAAAAAATTTCAATTCTAGAAATATAAGACATCCTATGTAATTAATATAGTATTTAATGATATGGACATTACATAAAAGAAAGTGAAATCTTATATTGTATATAACAATGAATTACAGAAGACAAAACTCCAAATTTAATAAATGTTATAAAATATAACACTTGTGTGTCTTTGAACTATAGATTTTTTTTTATGCATGATAGGTCACCCATAACCATAAAGACACTTTTACTTTTTAAAACTTTTTTTTCAGTACTAGGAGTTAAACCTAGGACTTAATGACACTAGACAAGAATCCTCCCGCTGAGCTAAAGCTCTAGCACTTCTTTTTTCATGTAGGGAAATAATTGCAATATATATGGTGAAGAGGTAAATAGCTCTGATATACAAATGAATACAGAAAAATAATTCGACTTTACAACCAACCAAACAAGAGTAAAGGACAAAAATATAATAATAGAAAAGGAAAAAACTCAAGCGAAAGTTACCATTTTTACAACAGTTCACAGTTTATACTGATGTATATGAGGACAAGACCTAGTATTTTTTGTGTTTCTTGTTTGCTTGTTTTTTGACAGGATCTCCCTAGTCCCAGCCTGCCTAGAAGTTACTATATGGATCAGGCTGGCCTCGCCTCCATCTCACAGAGATACTCCTGCCTCTGCCTCCTGAGGGCTGGGATTAAAGGCATATGCCACCACACCCAGTGTAAGACCTAGTATTTTTTTTATACTAATGGCTACAATATGAATTGCCACACCTTTTGTGAAAAAAAAATGGTATCTGTGGTCCTCAGACATTGTGCTTAGAGCAAGTCTTTCATAAATTTTTTTTTTTTTAATATGTCAGGACTATTCTACTTAAAATTCTGTGAGGATTGTGGCAGTTCCTTGTTAATATCCTTTGGGAGGAGGGACTTAAATGCTAAAAAATTCAATAAAAAATACACAAAAGTTTTAAACAATTGATTTTTTTCTGATTTGGTAACCTACTATATGAAAATCTGGGGCTGGAGAGATGGCTCAGCGGTTAAGAGTACTGGCTACTCTCGCAGAGGACCCAGGATCGATTCCCAGCACCCACACGGCAGCTAACAACTGTCTGTAACTTCAATTCCAGGGGAGCTGGTGCCTTCTTCTGACCTCTGTGGGCATTGCACGACATGGGTACACTTACATACATGCAGGCAATACACTCATACACATAAAATAAAATGTTAAAAAAAAGAAATAATGAGTCTGACTGCATAACATTTCTTCATTGAAATCTTATAAACAAACTTATTAGAATGGCAGTTTTTCAAGAAATAGGATGCATTTACATTAAAGGACATTTGGGTACAAACACCTGAATGAATAGGACTCAGCATGTATGGCAGAGTGCATAGGGTTCAGTGAAGGGATGGGGGAGGCATGGACGGGGAGCAGGTCTGGATTTGAATGGGAAATGTATAAAAATTTAAAAGCACAATAAAAAAATGAAAAAAAAAAGAGAGAAATGGGACTAACTAGAAACAGGCAATATTACACAGCTTGCTATTTCAAGAAGGTTAAGAGGTAGACATCTGGAAGATATACTTACAGTATGGGCTCCTTGTATTGTTCGTATAAGATTGATTCCTTTCCAAACATATACATCCCCATTGAGTGCACCAGAATACGTTAACTCATCCCGTGCACAGGCTAGGCACAATATTGTTTGAAGGTCACCTGTTTTACCAAAGACTCCTCGTTTGGGGGTCAGAGCATTTCCACACAAACTCCAGAACTAAAAGGCACATAGGACAAGCATATTACCAAAGAATGTTTAGAAAACAAAGTAAAACATTTTCAGTACTTCACTGCCGTACTGTAGCTGCAGACTAGAAATGACCTAAGTAACTGCCTCTTTATACAACAGCTTCAATGCTCATACTTTCATCCTAGAGTTGCCAAAAGCTATCTTACAGATTAGTCACTGATTGGTTTCAATCCATATCTGTAATAAGGAAAGTGAACAAAGATTTTTCTTTTTAAAGCTATGTTTTAAGTAAGGAAAAGGATGGGGAGGTTAGGGAAGCAGAGGGGTTTGGTGGAGGGATAACTAACACTAAGGATATTTGAAAAAGCCATATGGAAACCTACTATTTTATAATCCGTAAATGCATATACATACATATAATATGTTTCATGTAAAAAAATTCAATTGGAATTACCCTACACAGGGGGATGCTCTTCCAGAAGCCACAGGCTGCCAAAAAGCCCATTGCCAGGCTTCAGATAACTCCCCTCCAGTTGTTGGTCTTTGGTGTCCCAAAACAATACAGGCTATTGCCATTGCTCTGGGTTACCCACAAGAACTTGATAGAACCTATCACTGAAGACACCATATACTTTGGATACAGGACATATCAAGGTGGTACTGACCAGGAAGCTTCCTCTTGCTGGTCACCTTTCACAGTAATAGAAGGTACTGTAAACTTCTGGGGGAAAAAGTCATCCACAGTCCTACCTAGCAGTGAACCCTGTTAACTACAATAATGACTAGCATGGTAAGGCATACCATTGGGTGCAGCAGTAGCACAAACATTATGAGATAACCAACCAATTTCTGACTGGACTTAAGGCCTGCTCTACAGAAGGAAATGCATGCCTGCTACTGTAAATCTGGCCAAGAGTCCATGGTTGGGGAGCTCGCAGGCCCTAGGGGCAAACCATTTGCTAAACAGATATACTACCAAACTGCCCCCTAAATTCCTATCTGTACAAGTATAGATTAGTGCAGCTCTTAGATTTCTTCAGAGAGCCTTCTTTGTACAGTGGATGGCAGTTAACACAGAAACTCACAACAGTCAAAGTGCAGAGAATAACTGTAATGTGCTAAAGTGGGGCATCTATATCATATTCCTTCCCCTCAAGCTCAAGGACCATTGAAGAAAAGGGGGGTGGAAAGATTGTAAGAGCTAGAGGTTGGTAAAGACCAGACTGAGATTGTATCTTCTGGACATGACAAGACCACTGCATTCACGAACTCAGAGCAGCTAAGGTTTCTTTCACAAGACCAATGAATAGTCTGGAGGGGGGAGGGGATCACAAGCCCCCACACTTTACTGAGGAACTATTGAGAGTTGATGGCTTCTGGAGGATAGAAAGTCAGTTTTCTTTAAGGGTGTGGCCCCTGGTAGGTTGACCATGCTCCAGTGTATGCCCATACCCATGAGTATATGGGCAGCACAAATTATATATATATATATGATGGGGGGATGAAGTTGAGAGGAGGTGGAGGGTGAATCTGGGAGGTGTTAGAGGTAAGAGGGATGAATATGATAAAACCACATTATATGTATGTATGAAATTCTCAAAGAATAAAAATATTATATTTAAGAAGCTGTTTTCCTTGGGTTTCTGACAAAAAAAATCCTACATGAAACGTAGGTTAAAAAATTGGGAATGATAACCAGGCATGGTGGTGCACAACTTTAATCCCAGCATTCAGGAGGCAGAGGCATGAGGATCTCTGTGAAATCCAGCCTGGTCTACACAGGGAGTTCCAGGCCAGGCCACCTGGGGCTACAGGAAGACCATGTCTCAAAAAAATATAAAACAGCTCTCCTGCCCTCAGGCCTCTCTTGGGGTAAGTCTATCTCTTGGGGTAAGTATATCGCGCAGCCCTCTGCACCTTGACTCCCCCAGCCGCATTCACCCTTCCATCTCCCCTGCGGTTCTCTACTCCTAGCTTGGGCACTGTGCCATTCCTAGTCTTGGGGCCCCAGACACCTGGGGAGCCAGTGCTGACTCCTGACCCTGTTCACCCCAACCGGCTTGGTGCCTTCCTTGGGCCCCAGGACCCAGACCCGCCCTCACCTCTCTCTGCTTCCCCGGACCTGCACCACTGGCTAACTCTCCTGGTCTTCTGCCCTATCCTCAGGCCTCTCGGGGTGGGTCCATTGCGGAGCCCTCCATGCATTGACTCCCCTGGCCTCATTCGCCCTTCCATCTCCCCCGCTGTTCTCTGCTCCTGGTTTGGGCCCTGCGCCATTCCTGGTTTTGGGTCCCCAGACACCTGGGGAACCAGTGCTGCTTCCTGATCCTTCTCGCCCAGGCCAGCTTGGTGCCTTCCTTGGGCTCCAGGAGCACTGCTT